ACCTACTCACCTAGGACTATGTGAAATGTTATGATGTATATTTCTTCTAATTAATTTATAACTAAACACATTTCAGACATTTCTTGATATAACTGTGGTGCAAAAATTAGTTTTTTAGATTTATTTGCAAAAAATGCGTTTATTTCTAAAAAATGGTACATTTTACTTTAATCTAAATATTTTTCATCGTTAGCTATAACTTGCAAACATTTTTCTAGTAATTTATCGATTCAATGGTACAACAAAAATTGTTTCTCTTTAGATCAGATCCATTCAATGAGCTATTTTTTGTTAACTACATGGTTTCTCAAGTGCTGGTCTTGAGAAACGCTTTGTAATGTCTGGAACAAGTAATAATGTGATGGATTATTTTCTGAAAATGGCACCATTTGGATGTTGTCAACTTAGTTTTAACTTATTTTACAAAATATGGTCGAACATTGTTGTTCAGCAAATTCCCTTCGTTGGGTGAAGTCGGAAGTTTTTTGTTCATTGCACTGTTCAAATCTATTAATTTTTGTTAATAACAGTTCATAGTATATCATGTACAACACCTCCGTCCTATGCTCTTTCTAAGAGCGGTGTCTATTCTCAAAGTATAATACATAAATACATTGTAATAATAATAATAAATACATTCTAAATAATAATAATAAAAAATGTACAACATATCCTTATTTCCATGAATGTTTTGTTTTGCTGTTGATTTGTATATTGAACCCATGATTCTTAGGTTTAGCACCCAACATAATTATATGCCTGACACCAAATGCTTTTCTATTTAAGTGTACCAGCCAAACCATAGAACCATCCGAACCCATGAATTAGTTTCTTCTTTTTATATTTTAACGGAGTTAATTAAATTATTTATGTAAAAAATATTTATGAAATTATTGATTTAAATTAATTAAATTAGAAATTTGTATTTGCAACGTACTTGTAAATTACTAGATTATTTTTATAATCAAACTCTTGTAAAATTTTTATAATTAGTTAGATGCTACAGATTAATTAATATAATTTTTTACTATAACAACACTCACAAAACCGATAAATTAACATGCAAACTAATAA